CAACCAAATAAAGTCCTAATTGATCCTAGATTGAATAAGCTCGATTAGTGGAGTAGTACACTACGGGCAAGCTTATGGTGCATCTTTTGTGGCATATGAATATTATTTCTGAGAGTGAGTGAATTCTTTCTATCTTAGGTTCCTAAGTGTTCTTAAATTTTATTGTGTGGAACCACTTTTTTTTTTGTTGTGTAAGGGCACTTGATTCATGAAGGAAAGATAATGTCAGTGGCCTCTATATTAGAGTAAGTGGGTGAGTTGTGAATAATGCGTGGTACTTGTGAGTCAAATCTTGAGGTGAAGATGTTACGCTTTTGTGCTTAGTCTATTTAAATATTCTTGGTGTGATGAGTTAGAAAAATTGCTTTAAAAAGGTCGTGTCTATATAAAGTGTAGTTTGATTACTCGAGGACGAGCAATGGTTTAAGTGTGGGGTGTTGATGATAGGCTATAATTACGTGTTTTAGTTGATTATTACACTCTAATTTACTGCACTTTAGTTGAGTTTGCGCTTTAATCGCTAGTGTTTTGCACTAATTATGTGTTTTGTGCCTTGTAGGTGTGATTCCGAGCTATATAGATGTTATGAAATGAATTTAAGTGATTTTAAGCTTTGAAGTCAGAGTAAAAGCTCAAGGAATTAAGCCGGGATCGTGTTCGGGGGTCAAATTTGATAGTTGAGAACAAACGAAGACTCGATGAGGCATATTGCGCACTGTCTAGTAAAATGCACATAACTTTTTATTCAGAACTCTTTGGCTCCATAATATATGGTTGGAAAGATAACTCAAAGATCTACAACTTTCATGTTTTGCGTTTTTCCAAATTCCAAATGGAACAGGATGAAAAACCACGGTTCTACCGCGACCGCGGTAGAACCGCGGTGAAGGATGTTCGCAGACAATTGAAGAATCAGAGGCCATGTTTGGCCGCGGTTTGACCGCGACCACGGTAGAACCGCGGCAGGAGGCGGAAATTTCAGGGACTAAAGTGCAAAATATGGGATTTTTAGCCCAAAACCTTATTTTAAACACTAGACTTCGCCCAAGAGAGGCATGTATTGAATTTTAGAGTATCTTGGCAAAAAAAACAATTATGAGAGATCACCCAAAACATCTTTCTTCTTTTCTTTTATTTTTATTGCTAGTTTTTTATGATGAATATTATCTTATCTTGTTTACCCATAGTTATGAGTAGCTAAATCCCTTGTCTAAGGTTTTGATGGAACCTATTGGGGGATGAACTTCTGGTTTATGTGAATACAAATTGCTAGTTTCAATCTTTATTTATTCAACTATGTTCTTGTTGTAGTTAATTGACAGGATCCTCAATTAGTTGTGCCTATTTAGTGTGCATAACTCGGGAGAGAGTGCATATTTAGGTTATTGTTGAATAACACCACTCCTAAAGTATAAGAGGAATCTATAACTGCGGGTTTAAAGGCGGGATTAGGGATAACGAAGCCTTGGGTGCAATCTTAAGTGAACTGTGTTAATTAAAGCTAGCTAGTGTATCTCGGGAGAGTGCAATAGTATATTACTGTGATTACTCGGGAGAGATTTACGGTAAGAAAAGTGTTCCTGATTTATAGAGGTGTGTTGGTAAATTTGTATGACGGATAAACAGAAGGGATTCCATCAATAGGGAAAATCTTTACCTTAGCTTTTTCTCACTATTGTTTACAACCTTAGCATCCTTAGTTTACAGCTGTTTATTTACGTGCAATTTTAGTTATTGAAGACACCATCAACTGTGATTCAAACGTTTGGGGAAATTGGTTCTCAAGAGTTTAGTAGTTCTAAAGATAGTGATTGATAGGTTAATTCTCTGTGGATTCGACTCTGGGCAGAATACTCAAGTTATATTTGCAGCGTCCGCATTGTCCTTTTTATAAGGTATAGTTGGGCGTGATCAATTGTCTTACTCTAGTGCTTACATAATTTTTTGATCATTCATTTGCAGAACATAAGAACAATCAGTAAGTATATCAAAACCTTAGATTTTTGGAGGATATCCATGATTTGATTTGGATTATTTTTGGTGTAAAGAAGTTTTACATTAAGATTTACTACCACCACCACGAGCCCCATACTCTTCTAAGAGCAAACATATTAAGAATATTGCTGATGGTAGCGGTAATGGTGGCAATGATGGTGGAGATCAAAGGAATTTTAGTAGTGGAAAAAAAAAATACAAGGGAGGGGTCAAATTTATTAGGGACGCTGAGGTGGCATGCCACGTGGTACCCACCTCATCAAATATTAGTGCCACGTAGGATTGGATGTACACCTTGGCCAAACTTAACGGAAGAGGGGTATATTTGAACCAATAATATAACGACAGAGATATATTTAAATCTTTTCTCATAGTACAAGAGTATATTTGGACATTTTCCCTATAAAAAAAAAATACTTCCACAAAAAGTTTAATTCTTTCTTATCTTTTCAAATTCACTATTAGTTCTTCTTCTTTCTAGTTTCGAAAAAGGGAAAAATGATTGCACATATAATAAATAAAACATGTGATAAGAATTCATAATATATGTTTAGTGATTCAACTTTCCTTTTGTTAATATGAGTGAAATTATCTTTTCAAAAGCAGAATAAAGTGACTTTGTTTCCTTCCCTTCTTTATAAATTTCTTAATCTTTTAATCATTTGTTTTATCGGTATAGAGAATTATGAACTTTAGAGAAATAACAGTTTATTCAAGCCAAGCGATAAGAACAGAACGATTAAAAACGTGTTAATAATTCATTCTTATACAAACAATAAGCTGTTCATGGAATTGCTCGGATATTGTAATGTTGATTCATGATGACCCTAACCTCCC